CAAAATGAAAAATAAAAAGGGTTGGGGGTGTACATTAATGGTAGAGTACATCTGGGTTCAATCTCCAGCACTGCAAAAACGAAACAAATAAATAAAATAAAAGCAATAGTTAAAAAAAAACCAATACTTACACACAAAACCATGACACACATACCCTTTGTCAGAATTTATACAGAGGATTTCACATTAAGCAAACTAAAATAGGAAGGAGGGGGAATAGGATTGGGGATGAAAGAAACAGAGAGCAGCAAACATTATTGAACTCTGGAAGGCATTTTATTACTAGACCTGCAAATCAGTGAGGGAGACTGGGTGCAGTGGAACTTCCTGGGGAATCACCTTTAGCTGAATGCCTGACACTAAGTATTGGCTTAATGAAAGACTATGAATAAAGATCTAACTGGTGACATCATCCAGGACTTCATGGATTCCTTGATGTTACTCTCTTGGATGTGCCGGGGAATCTATGAGTTTGGCCCATGAGAAGGAAGTAAACTCATCCTATCCATTGTAACTATTTTCTACTAAAAATCCCTCTTATAAAAAAAATAAATAAATAAAGTGCCAAATTGTCTGTCAAGAAGATACAGTTTATTTGTTTGGTCCTAAGCAAGACATTCTAAAAAGCTGAAGATGGATCAGTTGTATATCTATCTATAGCCTAGAAGTTCATTGGTACAGGTTCTTAAATAATGTTTGGCAGAATATATTATTGTCACCCTTTAAACAAACTACAATCTCCAAAAATTCCTATTATGCCAGCAATGGCACTTATTCTTACTGGTAACAGCATCCAAGGAATTCTCTAAGAGTGAACCTCAGGTTTCAAATCCAGTTTCTCTGGATTTGAGATATCAGATCCTCCAGCATCAAAAGAGAAATGGTGATTACTACACAGCTTGTGTGTGGAATAGGGATTTAGCAGCTGCTGGGTTCATCTGTTCTCTTAAGTTCTATTTCTTTCCGTAGTTCATCTCCCATCATTAATCTCCTGGATAGTTGTCTCATTTCTACTTTCCCTTAGCCTAAATCAGATTTCCTAAGCTTGCTGTTTGGGGCCAGACAGCTGTGGTGTCTATCCTGCTCACAGCAGGATATTGAGCAGCCCTCTTGGCCTCTACCTACCAGATGCCAGGAACACCCCCAGTATGACAACCAAAACCTCTCCAGACTTTGCCAAGGGTCTCCTGAGTGCAAAGTTGAGAACCACTCGCCCACACAGAACCAGGGACACACCAACATTTCTGCATAACATCTATTTTAGAAATGTTCTTGTTTTCAGGATACAAGATGCAGAATTCTCTTTTCTTCTTCTGTTAGGCAAATCTAAAACTAGAAGCTCAGAGAAGATGGTTCCAGGGAACTATCTGGCTAAATCCAAGTGTGGCAAAAGGAAGATTTAGGACAATTTCTGAACTGATTCAGAAATAAAACAAACAAAACTTCCTGTCTAATTGAATATTTGGGCAAATGTGGTATTCAAGACTGTATTTTACAGGGAAAAGTTCTTCATGTTCAACTTTCCATGGCCAGAGACTAGCTGACTGCACATGTGGAGGTGCTGATGGGAATTGAGAGATGTGAACTTTGGGGTCAAGCTGCTCAAGCTTTATCAATGGGTTGGAATCCTTCTGGGTTTTGTAAGATTTGTAATCAGAGAACAGTCCTGGTGTTCTTGAATTAGTTCTTTCAACTCAGTGGCCATATCAGTGGAAAAGACTTCTAAAAATTAGGGTTCATAGAACTAAGAAAAACAAAAAGTGTGTAACAGAATTGAGAACCTACCTGAGACAGTTTAGAAGAAATGAGTAAGTCCTTGGCTTTCTCTATCTGTAGCACAGAACATCAGGAAATGTTTGTTGTTGATCATGTGATGGCTGTGATGGGGGAGGGCAGGTGGAATTAGGTTATAATTTGCTTAGGAGTTTTTTGTTTTTTTTTAAACAGTTGTAGATATTTTTCCTAATTAGCTGACTGAAGACCAGGTTTAGGGAGAATAGAATCCCTAAGAGGGTCTTCTAATCTTGAACCAGGGGTTCTAAATCCTCTAGATTTATAGTGAAAAGACCAAGTGCAATTAATTTTTTCTACTTCCACATTTTCATTGAGGGATGTGCATAATTGGTTAGGGAGGAACTCATCGCCCTGTGATGAGGCCTGGGATACTGTGGCGAGTGAAGGAATGATAAAATATGCCAGAGAGAAGGAAGATATGGAAGTTGGGAAGCATCTGGAAGAAAAAAGAAGCCCAAAGGGAATGATACGATTGATAAATTGGAAGCTTAATGCTGTGAACGTTAAAAGAAAAGCTTCATGAAGAAAGAGATTAGAATCTCAGAGAATAAATTGCCAAATGAATTCAGGGTGAATCCCAGGGGATTGATGCCAATCTTGCCTATCATCCACACAGCCCAGCCTGGGGTCCTTATCTTCTCCCACCCGTTCTCAGAATGCCTCACAATGGCCTGGGGATACAATCCAGACAACAGCACATTTTACAGACAAAAATACGAAATCCAGGAGGATGGGTGCTTGTTCAAGTCGGAATTCCCATGCAGGTTGTGTAGTACTTACTCCGTTATACCACACGGCTGCCCAGGCAGCACAGATTCTCAGTGAGCAAAATTTTATGGCTGTAAAGTCTCCAGACTGAACCAATTTCTCTGGAGAAGAAAGAAATTAGAGGAGTAAACATTGAAAAAGAAGAGGTACATGTTTAAGTGAGCCTTTTCTTTACATTTATGGTAAATTTTCCATTTTCCATTCTCCATTCTGTTTAAAATGTTTTCTATAGCTTAGCTGAACAGGGCTGGAAATGGATGTGCAGGGTAGTGGAGGTGATGAGTCGGGAAGCTGACAGATAATAAAAGAAGGAAAGGGAACGGCTGTGTCTTTGTTTTGCCAGGGACTAGTCTTCTCTAAATTCTTGGAAAACAGAAAACATTAGTGGGCCTTTACCTTCATGAACTTGGACCCCAGTTCAGGGCAGCATTGTCTCTGGAGAGCAGGGAGAGAAGGAAACAAATAGGGCTGGACCCCACTGCGTTTTCTGGCTTGTAGACTACAGTTAAGCTGAGCCTGTTCTTGGAATGGTCAAGTCCAAAAGACTAAGGCTCCAGGCCATGGGACCATGCATCCAGGTGCATTTCAGTGCTCAGGAGAAAATGAGCTAGATAGGCAATGAAATCAGGCATATGAGAAGAAATTCTTGTTTTTGCAACCTTGGTCTGTGCTGGGTAAAACTTATTTTAGAATGAATAGAGAATCTCTTCATCTGCTCAGGGAAATTGCTGGCTTGAATTTATAGTTGATTTCTTCCAGATGGGCTCATTGAACAAGTCATAATTCACCTTTCTGTGCAAGGAGAAAATGGGAGGTCATCTCAAATTGTGAAGAAATATTGAGGAAATTAAATAATTTTTCTGGATGAACATGTATAAGGCAAGGATGGAAGTAGAGGTAAATGAATGCTCTCATATTCCTCCACAACAGATATTATTTGATTTGTGTATAATTTATCACCTTGGATTTAGGAATGAAATTGATTATATTTCAAAAGCAGCTAAGTGGAAATTTATTTGAATTTGAATACATGGAGCCAAAGAGAAGGAAAGGACATAAGTTAAAACACTCAAGAAAATTGCATGAAGAGGCTAATGACTGGAAGGAGCATAGGGTTCTGGCCTTTTAGAAGTCTCACATTGGGGCTTGATCCCATAGTTTGTAAGTAATGTTTTGGGAATGTCAGTGCTCTCTCAATGCTCTATCAACTGATATAGAGAACCATCAATGTGTAGCATTTCTTCTAATATTATTTCCATTAAGTGCTTTGAGAAAAGCTAGTTAAAGTAAAATCATTGCTCTCATGTAGCTTAAAAGGCCCACTGAGATTGGATGTCTTATGGAAACATGCTAATTATAACACTGCACATTAGGAGGAGTGGGGCAAGGGAAAGAAGGATCCTGCCAACTTTCTTCTGTCATGAAAAATGAAGAGGCCTGTGGCTAAGGTTCAAAATTGGAGTGTTGCTCTCCTCTTAGAATGCATGAAAAGATGCAGGTAGACTTAGGCAGGCAGGACCCACAGAGTCCTCCAAGGCTGGAGAGATTCAGCATGAACTGAATTTGGGCAAAGTTCCTGTTTTAGTCAGCTTTTCATTGCTGGGAACAAAAGACCTGACAGAACAATTTTAGAGGTGGAAAAGTTTATTTAGCGCTCATGATTCCAGAGATCTCAGTCCATAGAGGACTGACTCCATTTCTCTGTGTACAGGATGAGGCAGAACATCATGGTGAAGGGTGTGGTGGAGGAAAGCAAATCAAGAGGAAAGCAATCAGGAAGCAGAGAGTTCTCCACTCACCAGACAAATTATAAACCCCAAAGCCATGCCTCTAGTGACTACTTCCTCCAGCCACACCCTACCTACTTACAATTACCTCCCAATTAAGGGTTAATGTGTTGATAAGGTTAAGAGTCTCATAGCCCAATCATTTCACCTCTAAACTTTCTTACATTGTCTCACACATGAGCTCTTGGGGGATACCTCATATCTAAACCATAATAGCTCCCTTGGAGTAGAACACCAGGCAAACTGCAGGCAGATTCAGGGCTTTACAGACAGCACAGGGTAGTGAGGAAGCACAATGGTTAAGAGTGTGTGCTTTTGAGCCAGATCCTCCTGGATGTGAGATTTAGACACATTACTTCACTTCTTCAACCTCTTCTTCATCTTCAAAATGAATATAATAGTATATTGATCCCACAGGATTCCTATGGGGATTAGAGACATTATCTGTGAACTTTACATGCCACTGCCTGGAACACTGTGAGCACCCAGTAAGTTTCAGCTTAGGATGATTTTATTTCTTAAACCATAGGTAGCCAGGCTTTATCAGACAACAAATACTGAGAGTGGTAAGCCTCAGGAAGTCCTTGCAGATATGGGAGGTTCAACAAATGGTCACCTAAAAGAGGGACTCAGTCAATATCCAATCCCCATCATGCAGTCCTGGACCCCATTATCTACCCAGCTCCAATATCCTCTTTCATTTCAAATGACCTATTAGACACAGTAACTGGTCCCACATTGTAACACAATTGGGATTTTTGTTTCAGAGTTCAAGTTAAACAGATTTGAGCCATGTTATACTTTGGTTCCACAGCAATTGATTATGCAAGTTTCATATCCTCTTGGCTTTAGTTTCTCCAGTGTCCAAGATCAAAGAGTAGAAAAAGAAAGAAACAGCAATGGCTTTGAGAGAATGGTCACCATCAACTCCAACACCCCTTCTACAATGAGACTGGAAGAGTGGGAGATCTGTTAACATCATTGATTAATTGGTAGGATGTTTTGCCAGTTCCTCATATTTTGAATACCATAGCAAGAAGCAAGCAAGCAACAGAGCTGGAAAGAGAAAATACTATAAAATACTCTCACCTGTAAAACAGGTGAGTCACTGGAGAAGGAGCAAGACAAGGAAAAGGGAAAGGAAAAAACAGAATAACAGAATAAAAGGGAAAGAAAAAAAGGAAGATTGAAGAGAAATGAAGCTTTCTAACATGGATGGAGCTTAAGAATTGGAAAACGTTAATAATAACAGTTATAGAAAAGTGGGAGTGAGGTCAATGGAAAGCCCCAAAATATTGTAAATACAAAAGAGCCTTTGGCATTCTGATACATCTCCCATCTTTAAAGAAAAGAAGGGAAAAAAGGAAGAAAGAAAAAAGAAAGAGAAAAGAAAGAGAGAATCCTGCCTTGGATTTTGTATCTAGGGGATTGGACTGTGATCTATAAGGCCCTTCCAAAGATAATAATCTGTGAATTTCTAAGTCATATATATTTATACAAGACTCCTTATTGGTTAGGATAATTCAATATGGTGTGCATAACTTCCATGATAGCAATTTGGGGATGATGTGAATTTGTTTGATTTTCATGGTTTTCAAAAAGGATCCTAATGCCCTTCAATGTTCTAAGTAGCTTATTGTGTGATTAAAAAAAAAAAAAAAAAAGACCAGCCCCTTGGGTATTCTGGGACTAATGCTGAGCTTTTGGTAAAGTACGAATCTAGGCTAGAACTAGGTCCTAGAACTTTGTGGCATTCCCTCTGTTTGCTCGTTGTTAAATTCTAGGATATCAGTTTCCTGGGTGTCCAGGTTTTCCATCAAGTACAGCATATCAGGAGAGACTCCAGAGCCGACCCCATAGTTGGTTCCACTGGTCTCCGAGGACGTTTCCGTGTCGATCAACAGGGCGGGCACGGGGCTCAGGGGATCTGGACCTAGGTTTGCCAGGGAGGTGTGGTTAGACTCGCGGAACTCTGGGAGACTCCACCTTTTGGGGAACCTATCCTCAATTGGGTCTTCCTCGAACAGAAAAAGGTGTCTCTCGTCGCTGTCTGGACCAGTCTGAGGACTAGGCCCCAGAGGAGGTGTCCCCTTTTCGGAGGGGGCCAGGAGTCCCGCTGGGTCCTCCTGCTGCCCAGTCCTGCTGGGTTGAACCCCAGTGAACTCTAAGCTCAAGATGGAGGTAGCGGAGTCGTGGTGGTGGCCCTCGTAAGAGGGCTCTGGAGCTTCAGCATCGGTGACCAGTACCTCGGGGACCTGTGGCATTTTGGTGGGGGAGGCCCGCACACTGGACTGCGGGGTCAGGCTCTGCAGAGTGCTGGTCCGGCTGGTCTCCCTGATTGTGGACAGCTCTCCCATGCTGGAGTGCACCTTGGGACTGCTCTCGAGGGAGTGGGACTGTTTCCGAGTCGGCGAAGCTCTATGGGGGTTTCTTGAGGGCACGTCCAGCAGGTCGCGAGCTGGGCTGAGCGGGAATAACATGGAGCTGTCGCTGGCCTGCCTCCCAAAGCTCCTCCTCTTGGGGCTGGCGGGGTGCTCGTGGGTACTCAGGAACCGCTTGACTCTCCTGATCACCGAATGCCGTTGGCCGTGCTTCTCATAGTCCCACAGCCACTCCTCGCCAGGGAAGTCAGACTCAGAGTGCCTGAAACAATGACAGAAGGCATTGGGGGCAGAATCTGACGTTAGGAGATGGGTTTGACATTTTTGCATTACAGATTTTGGAGATAGGGAAGGGAGACTTTAACTTGAGATAGTCTAGCCAAGGTTCTCCAACTGTTTAGTCTGAGGCCCTTTCATTATTTTATCTATCTATCTATCTATTTATTTATTATTTATTTGTTGTTGGGTACTGGGGATTGGACTCAGGGACACTCGACCACTGAGCCACATCCCCAGCCCTATTTTGTATTTTATTTAGGGGGAGGGTCTCACTGAGTTGTCTAGCACCTCACTTTTGCTGAGGCTACCTTTGAACTCAAGATCCTCTTGCCTTAGCCTCCCAAGCTGCTGGAATTACAGGCCTGTGCCACTGCACCAGGCTCTGAGGACCCTTTAAACTTTCAAATATTATTGAGTACCCCAAAGAGACCTGTTTATTTAGGTTATGTCTATTGTTCTTTACTGTATCTGAAATTATAACTGAGGAATGTTAAAAACACAAGGAAGTAGAACACATGTTCTATTTAGTGGTTAAGTGATGACATCATCACCTATCTTATAGTTTCTGGAAAAATTCCACTTTATAGTAGCCCCACTCCCTTATCTGTGGAGACATATTCCAAGACCACCAGTGGATGCTGAAACTGCAGATACTGACCCATACACATACATTGTAATGCTTTTTCCATCTTACCTAAGCACTTGCACACTACGTCAGTAACTTTTGCAATGTGAAGTGTAAGAGCAAATCTAGCATGAAATTTCTTTTTCCTTCTTCACAATTTCATAAGTTCAAGATTCATTCTTATTGTAGATCTTAGAAACCTTATTGTAAATCAAAAACTTTCACCTTTCACTTAAAGGATGTACTTGGCAGTTTCTCTTTGGCATATCCAAATTGCCAACATCTCTATTCTTGTGTTCTGTGATCATTATTAAGTAAAATAAGAGTTACTTGAACACAATTACTGTAGTAGATACTGTACTATCTGATAACTGAGTTGGCTAATCTGTGACTAAAGGCAGGGACCACATACTGCTTGGATGGACAGGCTGGACAAAGGGATGATTCATGTCCCAGGAAAATTGGTGTGTGGTGCTCAGAATGGCATGCAATTTAAATTCTATAAATTGTCTATTTCTGGAATTTTCCATTTAATATTTTTGGACTACAGTTGACTGTGGGAAATTGAAACCTCAGAAAGTGAAATGGTGGATAAGTAGGGATTTCTATACACTTATGAAAGACTGAGAATGAGAAAAGGCAAATAACTTTTTGTTTTTTTGAGTGGGGGGAGAACGGTTACCAGGGATTAACTCAGTGGCATTCAACCACCGAGCCACATCCCCAGCCTTACTTTGTATTTTATTTAGAGACAGGGTTTCACTGAGTTGCTTAGTGCCTCGCTTTTTGCTAAGGCTGGCTTTGAACTTTCGAACCTCCTGCTTCAGCCTCCCAAGCTGCTGGGATTACAGGTGTGTGCCACCGTGCCTGGCTGGCAAATAACATTTTAGTGTTATTATGAAAATAGTTTTGATCTTAAGGACACCTTAAAAAGGTCTTGGTGAGGCTGGGGTTGTGGCTCAGTGGTGGAGCGCTCGCCTAGCATGTGTGAAGTTCTGGGTTCAATCCTCAGTACCACATAAAAATAAATAAATAAAATAAAGGTATTGTGTCCATCTTAAAAGAAAAAAAAAAAATATATATATATATTTACAAACCTTCAAAAGTAGAGTAGAAAAAGAAATATATATATATATATATATATATATATATATATATATATATATATATATGTCTTGGTGATCCCTAGGTGTCCCCAGAATATACTTTGAGAATCACTGATTTAGAGACTTGAATATATATTGCATAGATATATTTTAAATAAGGTCATGTTTCCCCAGGACTCATAAAACATACCAAAATAATTAATCATAGCCAAATTCAAGAGAGTAAAATTAAGAGCTGACATTCATTTAATTATCACAATAATCATGTGAGTTGTTATTGTTATTCACATTTTACAGAGGAGGAAACTGAGGCCCAGAGAGATTCATTAATGGTAACAGCCAGTAAGAGCCAAACAAGAAGTCTGACTCCAAAGCATTTGTTCCTATTTGATGAAAAGCCTGCCACACAGATGTCAAGGCATGAGCCAGAGCCCAGGGCAGTCCTTTCCCAAAAGTAATCCATAAACATTTCTGGTGAAGGCTTTGCATTTCTGTCTGTTCAACAAGGAAAAGTGTGGAAAGAAGCTCTTTATCAAGGTGATTGTGATTAGGTCCTTCTTTGGAGTGAGTTTGATGGTTTTTCTATGGTCAAGAATTTCTTGTTGAATTTTTAACATTTTAAAAAATAAAACAAACAATCCTACCATTCTTAGTCATGTTCAAGGCTGAAATAAAATGAGTAATTGAGATAATGATAAGCCTGTTTGGTACTAAGGTCTACTCCTGTCTTGGATTACATGGTTGTCTCACATCTCTGTGTGCATTTTTAGTCTTAGTGGGGCTCAAGGAACTACTTAAATCCTTGCCCTTAAAAGACAAACACTCATGCTGTCTCTGAGATCAACAGTAATCATGCTGTCCCAGTCCAGTGTTGGTATAGACAAGATGCTTTATGCCAGCTACATTTTATGTGACGTAACAGAAAAATATACCATGGTATAATGTAGGTATAACCTGAAAGGGCAAAAGGAGCAACCAAAGAAAATGTATTCCCTGTGTTTATGAATAAAAGATGGATGATTGAGATGATTAGCAGGGTAAGTGTCCTGGGATGGTGTTCGATTACAGCCTCGTGCTGTTACTCTAAAGCCCCAGCAGCGCTCTTGGCTACCAGATAGCCTCCTGACCCACCCTCTGCTGTGCAGATGCAGATTCTGTTACAGCGACTTGGGAAACGCAGACTCATGCTTCAGTGGCCCCGGTGACCCTATTCGTTGGATTTCATTAGGTCACATCTCCAGTCACACTTCACAGGAATCCATTTAGCTTTACAGGGCATCAGAGGAGGGACAGCACAGTTGGTTATGAAGATTGCCACATTGGATGTGCTCTGGGATTTGAGGTCAAGCTGGCAATCTCTCTTTATAGGACACACATCTGTCCTCCATTTGGGATCTTGACTACTTATTTGGGATTTATTTTCCTTAACTACTTCTTGTTTTTAAATTTAGGACAATCATATTTATTTTTTTAATTTTTATTTTTTTTTCAAATATTTATTTTTTGGTTAGACACAATGCCTTTGTTTATTTATTTTATGTGGTGTTGAGGATTGAACCCAGGGCCTTGTGCACGCTAGGCGAGCGCTGTACAGCTGAGCCAAAACCCAAGCCCAAGCATAATGTTTATACATAATGTGATGAGTTGGAGATTAAGTAATTGGAATATAAGACAGATAAATATACTAATTACACCAGTCCATCTGAGCCAAAACCCCAGCAAAGTGGTCTCTCAAGCATGGCAGACAGTGTTCTATGTTAAATTGGTGGGGAAACAGAGCAGTACTACTTTTATTCTTGACTGTGATCCTTAAACATTTTCTATGCTCTATGATATATATTGGCACCAGTCTCTCTAGTCACACTTGCCAAGAATCCAGAGTCTGTTGAAGATCTAAAATGCGCGGCAAGCAGAGCAGTGAGAACAATGTTTATACTGGGCCTAGACTAGAAGATTCTAATGTCTGCAGGTGATGGGAGTTCTGTTGCTTTTGAGATAACATTCATGAGTTCCTCCAATCTGTGTATACTTTGGGCTATCTCCCTTGCCAGGGTGTAGGCACATGATCCAGACTGGGTTTAGATCAAGTGCACCCATCATAGATCCAGTTACTCAGGAGGCTGAGGCAGGAGAATCACTTGAGCTCAGGAGTTTGAGGTCAGCCTCAACACATATGGCAATTCCACAGCTAACATCATACCGAGGTAAAGGGGAATATTTTTTCCTATAAGATCAGGAACAAGACAAGGTTGCCCACTCTTACTGGAGCAGTGGTCCACTTTGTGCTTTGAACATAGCCCTTCCATATTTATTTTTTAATTATAGGTGGACACAATATTTTATTTTATGTGGTGCTGAGGATTGAACCCAGTGCTTCATGCATGTTAGGCAAGTGATCTACCTCTGAGCCACAACTTCAGTCCTTCCTTAACTACTTAGACACAATCTTCTAGGAAAAATAATTTATATTATTACTACTTCAAAACTTTGTGACTCAAAAGGAAAAAAAACTTTCAAATTGGTATAGTGGATATGTACATTCAACTACAGTGAGAGAAATACTTTCCTAATTCATAGACTGAAGAAAAATTAAGTGCAATGGACAAATGGCAAAGAGGCTAGTGTTCTCGCTAATGATCTACTGATTGACATGGGGTAGACCTTCTAGGGAAAACCTCTTGCACCTTCCTGCCTCAGGAGAGTGTGCTGTGGATGCATGATATTTATCTGCTTATTTCACATCCCCCCTAATTTACTGATCATCTACCATCAACAATTTGTTGCACTAGATGCCTAGTGTGCTAGATACTAGATAATTATAATTTAAAAGGAGGCAGAAGGCATGCATATGAATTACATTTGGGGCAAAGTAAGTTTTTGAGCTGGACTTTGCCATTAAATCAGAATAGGATAAATGGAGAAGGAAGGACAGTGGACCAGGTGGAAGTGATGATGAGCAAATAAGGCAGGAATTAGCGTATTAGTAAGGAAGAAGAAGAAGAAGAAAAAGAAGTTTTTTGAGACACAGGGGACAGTATCAAGCATAGGCTGGAAAGATTGTCCTGGAGTGTGTTGTGAAGAGCCATCTGCCAGGCCGATGGATTTGGACTTTCTTCCAGAGGCAGTGGGTGGCCACGGATTGTCTTGGAGAATGGAGGGCACAGAGTTGCATGGTATTAGTGTCCAAACTGGAAAGGCTACATGAAAAGCATGTAGCTTGATTAATGCTTAGGATAAGAAATACGACTTGAA